ATATCTGACTTTTTCATGTGATGATAGGAACAGTCCCACATTCACTAACATACACATCAAATTACCACCCATAGATGAAGTAGTGGTCCTAAAGCCAGCAAATCATATAAAATACCTAGGAATCATAATAGACAGCCACCTAAAATGGGACAAACAAATAGAAAGCTTAACGAAGAGATTAAGATGTCTTATACCAAAATTTAAATTTTTTAGGGAAATTCTTTCTGATAAAGACTTATGCACCATATACAAAACGTTAGTACAACCGTTGTTAACTTATGGAATTTTGGCATGGGGACCGGTGTTGAATAAATACTACAGGAAACTAGAAATAACTCAGAAATGGATTCTTAAAATCATGTTCCGCAAAACTAACACCTATCCAACAGATATGATATATAAGGTATCCAAGATATGTGATTGTAGGCAACTCTATTTTGAGAGTGTTTTCACATATATTACAAAACATAAGCATTTATTAAATTTCCTCCCACATGACCATCACACCAGATCCAAAGATCATTCAGTACGCATACCAAAGCCTAAAAAGACCATAGGTCAGAGGAGTTTCACTTTCCTAGGACCAAAAATATATAACTTAATCCCCACTCAGATAAAAGATATTAAAAATACAAAGGTTATGAAAAGGCATCTACGACTGTGGATTTTGGACCAGCACAGGCTCAAGATTCATCAAGCGATTTATATCAAAAATATATACTACTACTGAAACCGGAAATCTCTCTAGATATTTGAAAGTTCAAAATGAAAAAAAAATGTATAAATCAAACTGTTTGAATTCTTACCCCCTGAATTACTGCATTTTATGACTTATTTTTACCAATTTTTGTTCTTGTCTATTCACCTAATATTGCCTTTTGTTTCAATATTGTCTCTATCCCGATTGCGTCTACGTTCCGATTTTGCGTCTCCGTCCCGATTGTGTCATTTTAAAAATTTTACCAGGACTTGTCTAATGAATTTTATATACATATATTTTTTATGTTTTTTTTTTTTTTTTAGTCTTAAGTTATTTATACATGAGCTCATGCCCAAGCACAAGTTTCTGCGAAACTTTTTTGGGTCCATTCGTTTATTGTATAATATTGTCTTTCATCTACTACTGCTATACTTTTTCTTTTGCAATAAACTTATTATTATTATTATTATCTAACACCTAAACTAAAAAAGCGAAATTCAATTTTAGTGCCCATGTACTGACAAAGTTATGCATTTTATCAAGATTGGTAAGAGGTATCAAACGTGTGCAACAAAAAAATATAAATAGGGTTCAGATAAAGTAATGCATCTTTTCGTAATTAACTGACGTCATTGACGGGTAAAACAAAAGCAACCAATTTGTATGACCTTTTTTAACAAATATTCTAAATGATCTCGATTTTCCGTGAGCTTCCGATACGGATAAAACTTAGTAATTCTAATCTATACGGTCCGCCGCAAGAACAATGATTGACGAAGGTCTACGGGACGCTCTTTATATTTGAAAATACTTCTGGCGTAAGATAATTCATCCAAAACTTGTAGAAAATGATGTTCGTATAAAAAAATCCAAGGATTTTCTGCGTCTATTGACGTGAAGTAAAAAAGACATTCTCCCACAACGTGATCACCTGTTGCTTGACTGAATTTATGTCCCGATCGGCTCCATTCAGCCAGAATATTTATAGGAATTTGATTTTGCGGATAGGAAAGGACGGGTCGGTCTTGCCGCTCTCTCGCCCTTCAGCCCTTTGTGTTCTCAAGAGAGCGGGGGAGTTTCTCACGACCTCTGACTGCTGGCCCTTGCTTCCACTCGAATGGACCCATTGATGATGAGCCGAAAGTGTCTGAGGATTTGCAAGAGAATTTTTTATGGTCTTGGTTCGATAGCGTGACAATCTCATAATATGCATCAAGCCTGAAACATTATTAGTTCTGTAGAAATAAAACTGCAGAATCTATTACCAGAATCGACCGCTGCGAGAGTAAAAACGGCAAGCTATCTGTTGGAACTATCATCTTCTTTGTTGTAGTAGAGATTTCAATTACAAAGGTGATCTTCTTTAGTACAATGACATATACATAAACACAGATCGTCACCAATATCAAATTTTGGTAAGTGATTACGCAGGTGGTGTGACGAGATGATAAGTTTTCGTCACTGTTAATTCGTATATGAATCAAGTATAAGTACTACAATACATATGGTTTTTATTGACCAGACAAGCATAAGGGATTAAAAACAATGGTCGCAGAAAACGTGTTTAGAAATTAGTCGGCTGTCATCAAATGTCAAGTAAAGTTACACAGTACTCCAGAGTAAAATTTCATCTACCAATCTACATTCATTTACTGTGGGCGGTACAACATTAGTGCTTTACAAAGTTGCCAAAAAGCACGAAACAGCTGTCCATTTTTGGTCATCTGTGGTAGGACGAATGTGAGCTACTACAGACATTTTTCCAAACACGGCAGCCATATTGAATCTGCTATTTTGATTTTCCAAAAATTATATTAAATTCATTATTAGCGTCGTGAAAGACATACAAAGCCCGAATTTGAGCGCAACCCACATATTTTTTTGCAATCATGTCCGCCATGTTGGATCCGCCATTTTTATTTTCGACAAATGGACATCATATTCGTTATCCAGCGACACCAACCATATGTAAATGAAGTTTTGTGGGTGACATTTAGTGAAACTTTCTGATTTCGGCTATGTTTTCGGACTTCTGAACCACTGTGGATCGATACGTTCATAGTACGACCTCAGTGTGATTTGGTGAGTGAGTACCTCAAATTGCAGTCCTCGAATAGGAGCATTGACTGACTGTCGAATTAGCCTATGCAAAAATAATGAATTGTGAAATTTTAGGCTAGGTATGTAGATTTGAGTATAAGAATTCAACAAAATATAATTTTGCTTGGTCCTTTTTCTATATAAGATCATAGTCATATCAGTCTGACTTATAAAAATGAGAGTAATTCGGCGAGGGCTGTTCCCTGAACTTTTTGTAATGAAACTTGAAATTTTTTAGATTTGAGAGTCAAAGTGCAAATGCAGTCACCATAAAAAAATGTTCATCTAATAAAGAGGTGAGGAACTGAAAATAATAGAGAAGCAACAAAAATGATCACTGGAAAGTGTAAATAAGATAATACGTCCAAGCACAATGTCAATGACTGCTCAACGATGTTTTAAAAACGATGAGACGCGACTTATTCCTCTCCTTCTATCAGGCTTCGCTACAGTTTCTTTTTATGGTCGACCAGAAATTAGCTAAGTCTTGATAAAGTAAATTATTTCAACGTTTTTCTTATTTAGAATAATGATTTTATAGCAGTTCTTGTAAGTCTAGAATTTAATTTTTAAAACAAAACACTTCTCTTAGTCGGATAATTTTAAGGTAGAAAATCATACTCTACTCTCCATCTCGCTGAAGGTCATTTTTTATAATTTCAGTCGACCGTAAATACGAGAGCTGAAGGTCTTGGTGCTATTTCCGGTGCTCTCATGCAGGAGTTTGGCGGCCCTCGACCCGAGGTGGTGAAGTAATTTCACGCCCAGTGCTGCGGCTTTATCGGGTTGTGGGGATTTTGAGGAAATAGTGATTTTTTTGTCGGAGTCCTTTTCTCTCCCTCTTGGAGATTTAGCCGTGGTCACAACTACACTAAACCAGCGAGTTGGTAAGTGACCATTTTCTCCAAGCCACGTGTTTATTTTCTCAACATGATTTCTAATTCTATGGAGGGGAACTATTTGCATTGATATCCTGAAGCGATCTTTGAGTAGAACCCACACAGTTCCCCATTTCTGTGAACCTTCATTCTTCGATGTAATTTTTTTTTTTTTTACTTTGCTAGGCCTGTCTTAATCTAGTACACACTGAAAACACAACCACTTCGTTCAAAAATTAAGCATAAGCTATCAGTAATTTTATTTTTGCCAGTTTATGCGTTCTTATGTAACATTAGGGTTATATTTTAAGCATTTATTTATCCATTGAAATAATAAAAATAAAAAATATTCAATTCGTCAAAAGCAATTAAAAAGAGAGAAATGCTTTGAATTTCTCATTGGTAACATTTGTGTATTGTACTGTATCATAGTACATACGTATACACTGAGAGTGGTATAGTGTTGTCCTTATATTGCTGTAGCTTCCGATTTTGGTTGTATATTTACTGAAATTTGAGTGAACCATGCTTACGAGGTAAAATGTTATTGTTGTTCTCAAGTAAAATTTTAATTCCTTTACTTATAAGTTTATATCTTTTTCATACAGATATCTGATTATTTTAATTTAGTTATTGATTGGCAGCAGCTTTGCTTTGATTTTGGGTTTTTGAGTTCATGTGACCCAAGACTAAATGGTTCCATGTTAAATCTAATTCTTTAATTCTTGGAAGCAGATTAAAATGGGGGATTATTAGTAAAATCATTAATTAGGGTTATTTTTAACAAGTAATTTTTCCTATTTAGGGTTCTACCTTCGGGTAACGAGTTGCATCTGAAACTTCCTGCCCTCGGTTGCCTACCCGAGATAGCCAAGCACCTGCCTAGTTGGTTTCCTTTTTTATTTTACCTGGGGGGGGGGGAGTATAAAGTAAATTTCTTTTGCTTGTCCTCCAGGACTTTTCTAATTTTTTTATTATTTTTTTTGTTCAATAAATGTTTCTGTACCTCGTGAGTTTGTATCTCCTTCAGCACCAGAGATCCAACATTGGTTACTTGTTCTTTCTTTTCCTAGTTCTTAAAAAAAACTAGGTGGCGCCCAAACCACCACCATTTGCATCCAAAAGCCAGGGGACAAAGAAACACCCAAGTAGGGCTCATTATCTATCGACTTACAGTAATTTTTTGCCGAGATAACACTGGTACAACAAATTGTATTTGATACAAACTGCACTTGAAGTTAAAACAAAAATAAATTTTAAACTATGGTTTATGCAGTAGGTAATACGTTACTATGATCTGGGACCAGTGAAATATCCAGCAATAAATGTTACCAACAAATTAAGAGGTCTTTAATATTTGATCAATTACACACTTTGCAAGACCTGAAACATAAACGAGCACTTATTCGTCGTCCGTGTTTGATTGTTGAAAATAGAAGAACGCTTGGAAGGATTGGATCGAATCACAGAGATAGAAAATACCAGCTGCAACTGAATAAGATCCAGCAGCAACCAAACGGGCTGACCAATCATACCTGATCACAGTGTAGGCACCGGGGATGAAACATAGGGGACTTAACAAGAACAGGGGCACCCACTGGAAACGGAGGCTGGGCTCCCACCGTTCACCTACAAAAAATGACGTCAAGTAGATTGATTCCATGTTTCCGACGCAATTGTCGTTAATGTTTATGTCTGGCCTACTCGTATTCCCCAGCCTAAGGGACTATGATTAACAAAAATAACCGAAGCATGGGAGTACTTCTGTTTTGTATAGTAGCTGCTGAAACAAAAAAGGACAAGGTTTACATGACTAACAAAAAACAAGATTTCAAGTATTTAAAATGCACAAGTGAAATTAAAACTTCACTGTGTATGTTCATAGGCGCCCGCAGGAAGTTTTCTCAGGGAGAGCCAATAATCAATAAGCGACAACTTTTTGTGAAACTACAGCTACCCCAAAACTTTCTGAAGAGCCGATTCTCTCAGGAGAGGGCAAATCCTAAAAATCCCTAAATATGCAAATTTTAGTGTCCAACCGGATTGTCAGGGGGTACATAGAGCCTCCTGACACCCCCATCGGACAGTTATGTAAAGATTCTGCAAATAAAGTGTTGTTCGTACTTCCACCATATTTGTAAATATGAAAAACCGATTTCTGTTTCAACCGCAAATAATGGAAAATCTGTGTGACAATAAAAGAATATATCCATACGAAAGTTTACTATATGCCATTATGTAGGATTTCATACAAGATGTCAACTTGGAACTAGCTACTATCCCTTAATGTTCACTCTAAGAAGCACTATGTATTGCCTAAAAGTCATGACGTTGTGCTATTCTGGTTTGGCTCAGATGTGATGTAACATCTGCCTCAGAGACGCCATTATATAGGAGGTCTAAACTGTAAGTTGTGTACTATAGCTGAAAGACAACGGCAGTGACAGTCCATAGGTGACGCTTTGGGTGACGTTTACAGCGCTCAAAGCAAAAATGCGCAATGGACTGTTTGCACTAGTTGCCTAGTAGCTACCTAGTCAACAAGATAATATTTTGTCGGCTTTTTCTGACATTATATAGGTTTTTACGTAATAAGCCAGCCATTCTGAACTACCCGTAGCCAATTGCAATGCGGCTTGATCACGAAAACCAATTGTGCAGAATTAGAGCAGTTCTGGTATAGAATAGAATCCTAATACAGCTTATAAACGAAAGCTGGGGGCTCAACGAAAATCAACAAAATAAAAAAATGAGGCTTAGGGAGAACTCGCAGGGTTCGCGGCGTGGCGCAATCATGTACATGGAAATGCTCTCCAGCTTTTAGTGATTTTCGTCTTTCATATGTTTACAAGTGCGTCCCAAGTATCTACGAGTATATCATATATCGACGGATACAACTTCGGCAGGCGATATATTGTCCAAGGCCCAGTATGTGCAGAGTCTATTAGTTTACAGGAGACAATAGACACGACGCAAATCTTGCGATTTACCAACATATTGAAAAAACGGCGTCGAGTAGGGTCGCTCTGCACTTTCCAAGTAACGCTTTGTTCAGTTTATAAAGGATTAAGTTTGGCTCAAGTTAGTCCCCTTGAGCTAACTGCAAACATGTATGAGAAACAGTCCATCGTCCCCTCCTATTCTATAACGCTAACGCTAGTTCCTTCCCTGGGAGAGAACAAGAATGCTGGCGATGCACTCTGATGTACATAGTCTGTTACCTGACGATTGCCATAGCTGTTTCATGGGCAATTGGACATGGAAGTAAAAGATAAAATTTACAGTTAGTGTCATAGAATGTCATAGAATTTTCTCAAATTGTGCATAAAGAAGATTTTGAAGACGCCACGACAAAATACACCTTGAGCTTTCTGCCAGGATGAAAGGTGTCCTTCGAGACGTTGCGTTGATCCGAAGTTCTTCTACGTCTTAATTAGTACGGATGGATTCTTAGCTAGAATGGCATGCCCAAATTTATGGAAAAAACCTCTTTCTTCACTTGTCATCTGTGAAATTTAGATCTAATCTAGACGGTTCATCTTTCAAGATTATGAATGTTGGGGTATGTATAATTGGAAGATGATAACCACTTGTTTGCTTTCCGTCTGTCTGTTTCCAACACTACACGTAAGACCTATACCGCACTGATAATTTGCTAATAAACAGCTTTGTCTGTGGCTGGTCATCGTTACAGAGGTAGAAAGCAATTCCAGTCGTGTCTATTCTTGCATATATGCATAGAAAGCAATTGCTCTGTGAATACTTAGTATTCTGATCAATTGACAACTGACCGTAATAGAGGTGCGCTGTAGAGAAGGTCTTCATTATGGGATTATGGAATGAGGGTAAAGCGAACTATTGGTAGGTGGCGATCGTCAGATTTCCCACCTACTTGCGCTCAAAGTTGAATATCTACCATAGAAGGATTTTGAACCAAGGGCTAGGCAGAACTACGCTCAGAATTGTATGCATAGCTGTCGGAATTTGTACCTGTTAACATAAGGTTTTTGTGGTATCTACATGGGACGCCTTATTAAGAGCTGATACAGATTAAACTTACCGAACGATAGACTGATAACAAATAAGAGAGCAGACACCGAAATTCCTGTAATCCCAGCAGAAAATAGGATGGCTAACAACTCTACACCGTAAAACTTTTTCGTAAATGCCAGCACCAGGGAGCAAAACACGATTTCCATCATTTTGAAAATGGCCTTAGTGCTCAATATGTAGGAACATCCAGAACTCATAATTTTGGTTTAACTTGTTTGGATAAGCTAACATTTTCTCCGAAATTTTCTCATTTACGATATTCATGCGTTGACAAAGTTATGTCTAAGCTTTTCAATGACATAAGACATAACTAGACATAACTCAAACGTAACCAGACATTACTGTGTCATTCTCTGATCTAATAGAGTTTCTTTCAACTCGTATACCATGGGAGCAATCTGTCAGGTCATCATTGACAAGGGGTTGACCTGGCAGAAACATGCTGACATTTTGAAAACAAAATTCCAAATTCCCTTTCGGCAGCTTTATCCTTTGTTGTGCAGAAATTCAAAATTAAGTTTGATCAACAAGATTCGGTTGTATAAAATGGTCATAAGACCCGCAATCACCTACGCATGCGCGGCTTGGTGTTTTCTCGCCAAGACGCACATGCAGAGACTGCAAGTCCTGCAAAACAGAACCCTACGCACAATTACTAACGCCCCTTGGTACGTGTCAAATGAGACTATTCACAGAGGTCTTGATATCCCATATGTAAGGGATTACGTAAAACAACATGCGCAGCGGCGTTATAATCAAGCGGAATCGCACAGCAACCCTCTGTTGCGTGATTCAGTAGACTACACAGTCGAGCAAGTTCGCACACATTCCGGGCCGCGCTATGTACTGTGATCAAAATTAAATTGTAAATTCAGACCAGCCAAAATTATTTCAGTATACAAAACCGATCAAAATAATTTTTTTTTTAGTTACAAAATAATTCGAGTAGTCAAAGCAATAATGCTTAAGCTATTTCAAATAATTTACTTCTTTTCTTTGCTCTATTTCTTCCTTCCTTTCTTTCCTTCTTTCCCTTTTCCCCTTAAACATGTTTGGTACCTGGATAGCCAGACCTGACAGACTAACAGACCGACGAGACTTTTAACTAAGACCAAAGGTCCACCGGACCGCTCTGACGAATAATGACGAATAGTAGAGTTTCTTTCTTCTATAACACATTACCTACCACTACCTTGATCGGACCAAGGGTTAAACGTGTAACTTAGATCAAAGCTTACTAACAAAGAAAGACCTTAAGTTTGTGGAATGAATGTATCTAATGTCAGTTAGATTGACTTTTCTTAAAAGCGTAGATGTCTTCAGCATATAATGGATCCTGTCGTGTTCTTTCACTTCTCACGCCAATGGGCGAGAAAATATTTTAAGCCGAAAGAACTTCGACAATGAGATATCATATTTTTGAATGCTATATGGCACGAAACACCATGTCACTCATTTCTGATGGTCTACCTGTAAGTCTATCGGTCTGTCGGTTTTTTGCATTAGTAGATTTGTATGCTTCTAACCTCGGTGATTATACTCCTGCTGTTGTCTATAATGCTGCTTGATAAAACAGAAGCCGTAATGGTGTCTAGCCTTGGAGAGCACTTATGTTGTCAGTTTTGATCAACGCTTCTCAGAAAGGGATATGTCCTACACCGACAGCTTACGTGAGAGGACAGCATGTCACAGCTTTTGTAATATCACCGTGGAATACCATAATGTCATCAAATATGGTTGCGGCTACCGTTGCTTTAAGTGTTGCTTAATCATCAGCTTCAGTATTCAATTTGAAAAGGAATCGCTCTGCACTATATGTGACGTGCCGGAATCATACTCGTACAAGAACATCAGTATTTTAGGAACTTGTAGAAAAATGGAAAGACAAACGATATGAAAAGCTCGCACATACATACAATTTGATGAAAAATTTTAAATTTGCCTGTACAATACGTCGAACAGTGACTTTCATCTAGAAATTAGATATGGACATTAAATCTGATGGGTCTACTTACTGTCCGTCTGAGAAATCTCCGAAATTGGGTTGAAAATGAAAAAGTGATATTTAAATGCAACGCTTGCTTGGAATGTTATGAAATCGGTCAACTGAGGTTGTTCAGAACCACAGTAGAGGTGATTGCAGCTAAACCACTTGTGAATATTTTGAAGTAAAATGCCACAATCTTTCTTTAAACTAGCTTCACACCTATTCGATGTCACCACTGAAGTACATCTGCATATAAAATGAATCTACCTCCAGAGGAATAGTACTCAAGATCACTTAACTAGCACAGATCCTGAAATAGAGCCCTGAGGGACGCCCATGGTGATGTAACAGAAGATACTCACAATTCGAGACTTATACTCTGAAAAAGACTTAATCCAATGATATGGTGGACCATTTATGCCATACTTTGATATTTACACCACTTAATGATCTTCAGCTGGGTGAAGGAGTATGAGCGACTTAGTTCCTCACTATCATTTTCACATCTCTCCAGGAAAATTCTACGTCTTGTCTGATGCGGGGGTATTAAAGTACTCACGGAATACTGGAACGGGTGGCTGAGTAGCGCGTATTGAAAAATCATCCGAGCAGGGTCTCACACCGCCAACGCCGTCGCTGCATACTGCATTATGAAGAATTACCAAAGGCTGCTTCCAATTAGCGTAAAAGGTGTCTCCTCCTATTGCTTTCTCTCTACCTTGATAATACTACTGCTGTGCTGACGTTGATGCTGAGCTCACTGCACCCTACTTTATCGGCCGACGGCGATATTAAACAAGCAGCCCGATCGCGACATACAGGGACGAATTTTGAACATCTGAAGAAACAAGTCACACAATAAATTCTAGCATGAAGGAAGCATACTGAGAAAACTGCAACCTCGCGGTCATACTGCCTAAATACATATACAGACTTACGAGTATTGAGACTGTAACTCAAGCTTATCTCAACTTGCTAAACGCTCAACGAGGTTAAGGGAAGGGCAGACGCCTAGGTCACTTGACTTGGTCTTTGTCTATGACACCGACTTTGATTCTAATTTGGATTATTTGCCACCTTTTGGCAAGCCTAACCACTGCACACTCTCAACTTCCCTCCAGCTCAATATAAAAAATCGTCTCAACACCAGTAGGCTTAAAACCATCAAAGTTGTGAGTTACAAAACTCTTATCAATCCCCGTCTGAAATCGACAAACGTTGCTTGATAAACGCAGTACCAAAGAAACTCGCCCACTGAGCTCTAAGTGTGAAAGGCTGCCAAAACTACAGAAAACAAGCTATACTGTGACCCCTGAAAGCCCTGGATTAACAATAAAATTTTGAGTATGCTGTGTCACAAGGGATTATTGTCGCAAAAGTCTAGAAGGAGTCGTAAGCCAGATGATTACGTGTCTCATAGATACTTTCATAACCAGCTATCCAGAAGTTTAAAAAGAATATGCTTATGAAAGCGAACTCGTCACCTCCAAAAATAACAACAAATTGTTTCGGTATCTAAGCGAAAACCTCAATTCCAAAGCATCATCACCGCAGATTCGCGATGCTTTCACCTGCACATGAATGCCGAATGTCCCAACTTACTAGCAGAGTCCTTCAGAGTAGAAATTGCCAACGAGCCTGATGCAGACCCTTCACCTACCACTCCATAAGTACCTTAACAGCCTGTACGAAGTTGAGTTCCTACCAGAAGACGTACTGAAGCACTTGCAAAATCTGAAGACCTCTTCCTCCCTGTCAAAGATGAGGTCGCGGCTGCTGTACTTAGAAACTGAGCTTCAGCACTAGCACTACCGCTAAGCATGATATTTACATCCTCTTTCAGAACTCACATGCTACCCTCACGCAGGCTTCTGCTATCCGTGTATTCAAAAAGAGTGACAAATCTTCGTAAAAGATTATCGTCAATAAGTCTCGTTCCTGTCGCTGCCAAAATAGCTGAACGAATCATATTAAATAAGTTCTTTACATTTGCTTTCGAAAATGACCTCATCCCTAACAAACAGTCCGGATTTATCCCTGGACGATCGATAATCACCAATCTTCTCCACTGTCTCTACTATTGAACAGAGTCTTTGCAAACGAACTCTTCCGTTGACATAATTTATCTAGACTTCTCTAGGGATTTTGATCGCGTGCCGCACAAGAGACTTGTTTTCAAGCTGGAGTGAAATTAGAGGCAATTTTTTTCAATTAATCGAGGCTTTCCTCACCGGGAGAACTTTTTCTGTGCTATTCAATGATAGCCAGTCTTCTCTCGTCCGTGTAACAAGGGCAGTTCCTCAAGACTCAGTCTTGAGTTCCGTGCTCTTCCTTTTGCACACAAGTGACCTGCCCACCTTGCTGTGTTCTGCTTATAACGACGACGTGGAGATTATTCACAACACCATTACAAGCTCTGCTCTGCTTCAGCGAAATCTTGACATTGCTCATCAATGTTCATAAAATCCGCTTCTACCCTTGAACCCACTAAAGGGAATGTCTTTCACCTCGGGAAAAAAGATCCGCGGCTCGTATACAAGACCTCTGTTAGCATCATCGAAGCGGTTTCCAGTCATACTGACCTTGGCATTGCAGTCAACAATCGTATTCTGATCAGAACATATACAACTAAAGCCGAGAAACTTCGATACATGTTGGAGAGATCTTCCAAAAGATCTGATGTCAAAACGCCTTCATTTACGAAAAAGCTGCTGACGCTTTTCGAACGTACACTATCAGGACTCTTTCGCACCGGTGGATGGTAGATGATATTGATCTCTTCTACCGCTATGTCAACAGACTTTGATCCTCAGAGTTCTGTGTACGAGAATGCTTCAGTATAAAAAAACAGCAAAAAAAGACTCGCAAAGCTTTAGCTGGTAAGTAGTGCCTTCACCTGTTCTGCAATTTGGAAAATTCATGTCAATCGAAACTTTCTTAAATCACCTCCGATGGTTTCTTGAACTAATGCCCCTGAAGTTCTTGCTACATCACCATCACAATGATTTTATCAGAACGATGGAGATAGGTAATAGACCCAGATGATCAATATATTATTATTAGAATAAATATTTTCACTTATGGCGGCCGTAAGATTCACAGTATTTTTTCGATAACCCAATAAAGGTTTCACTGTCATCTCAAATTTAACACTGTAGGCTTTGGGCGTTCAAGAGAATGTTGTATAAAATACCTGGACGACCCTAAAAATCAAGGTTTGGGGACGTTTTGGAAACGTTAGTTTTCAAAAAACAGCTCAGCTTCTTAAGTTACAGAGGGACCACCGGCTACCGGATGGCCGATAAACGACAG